GGTTTTTTATTTGAATATTAGGCAATGTCAAGATAATATGCGTTAGCAGCTTTGATGTTAGCAGTGTGAATGAAAAGGGGGAAAAAAGGTGGTATATTATAGTCAGTGAGTCAGCGTCTGTCAGATGTATCTGGTGTCTTAAGGTTAAGTATACAAATTTCTGTGAAAACAAGCATGCTGGATTTGATAGCTGGAGCCTTACAGCCTGATTTCCTTCTAACTAAATGTTTTTATTGGTAGCTCTAGATCTTCGGTGAGATACAGCGGTCATGTTTAAAACTGTTCTACAAGAACATATTGTAGGCTGAAGGGAGAAAGATGTGCACCTGGGAGTAGAAATGAAATACAAAAGAGCGAGGTAGAGGCAAGACTGCTGTTTGCTGAGCCATGAGAAATGAGGGCATTCAGAGAAACGTAGCCACAAGAATTTCGTGCCAAATATTTTGCTACTTTTCTTCACTCATCTTATATAATGGAATTTCCCAGTTATCTTTAGGAGAAAAAGTTATTCAATGTTAATCTGTTTCTGATCTCAGCACCACTCATATAAGTAGAGAGCTGTTCCTTCAGCCACCCAATCAACTTCATACAGATAAATTGAGAAAGGAGTTTGATCCTAGAATTCATGTTTCAGTTCCTGGTTATAGATCTGAAGTCTCCCCTGAAAGTAAGATACACATTTGGAGACTTATTCCCCCTTTACACTTGTTTAACCTCTTTGCAATTATCAGTCACTACCTTTTATTAGTTGTGAGTCTTATCATGTTTGGATGGTGGAGTAGTTCAGTTTTTCAAAACTATCAGGCTCAATCCCTAGCAGTACTGAGAGAACTAAGATTGCAAAGAGATAAAAGACTTTTTCTTTCCAAGTAATCTCCTTTTCTTAAAAAAGTCTAATAAGTAGAATACCTGCAAGCTTCATCAATACAGCATTACTAAAACATCTTCCAAAATCCTTTAGCACTTTTCACTGTACTCCTATTTCTACTATATTCAAGCTATCTGATTCAGTATTCAAGTAATAAAATAATTTCAAAAGCATTGAGTCTTTAAATTTTTTTGGAGGGATTCAGATTGCTATTTAACAAAAAATTGTATTCTACTCTAAATCTACTGGGATTTTTTACAAGATCTTAGGTTTTGGTTGTGCACTAATTTGAGGTTTTTTTCATGGCATGACAGATTCTGGATTTTTTTTAATTTGATGTTAAAAATTACTAAAACACATGTGAGAACACCCCATTGTCTGAATTATTTTTTTTTTATTGATAGAGGTGAAGGGATCATATTCTGTTATTCTTTTTGACAAAGAGTGGCTTCATGTTTTAATGCTGGGATGTTAAGAATAATATCACAAGAGGATGCTTGCTGAAAAAGTAAAACCAAATGATCATTTTTGTGTGTATGTTAGATTAATTTTCCTGTTGAGAGACACAGCACTAGAGTCTATGAACTCTCTTTCTACTTTCCCCATGACAAAGAATAAGTTTAGAGGTGGTTAAATAGGGCAATTCGCAGAGGCGCCGCCTTGGCTCAACCTCCCCCGGGGGGGATGGGACTCAGATCTGGTGGCACAGGGAGCAAATCCCCTCCCCTGCCACCAGAACACCCCCCCACACATCAAACTATCACAAGGTGGCATTACAGTGAAGGAGGAAGAGGTATGTGTAGAAGAGTGCTCTTGAGTCTTGGGTTGTTAAAGAGGTTTTCATGCTGTCTTTTCTCCTCACATGTATTGTAGGGTTATAGATGAAAGTTAGGAAGATGGCTGAAGGATATCTTCATGCTCCAGCGTACTCCAGTTGATGGAACAGCTTTTGTGGGTGATCGACTTGTGGGTTTAGGATGGGAAGCAGACTTGCAGCCAGATGGTTCTGGGCATATGTGTTTATGAGAAAGTGGCTGTAAGTCATTTTACCTCCTTTGGAGCTGTGCTGAGCACATCTTAGATTCAGGCAGCTGTGTTTTCAGTGTCATTCTCCTTTTCTGTTCTCTGGCTTGCATCTCTCTTCTGTTTGCTTTGGTTCTTTTCCATTCAATGTAAAGGCGAAGGGATACCTAATATTCTTGCCCTGCAGAATTACAGTGAGTGAGAACATGTCTTCTGCCACTTTGCAAGCTGCTTAAGACTTAGATATGGGTCCACAGGATGAAAAATGGATTATATTCCTGCTTCTTCCATCCTTAGATAAGCAGCATACATGTAGATCTTTGGCTGCTCTTTTAATACTTCCTGGGATGTAACTGATGCTGATGTGTATAAGCCTTCTCTCTTCCTTTTTATGTTGAGTGCCTGTCCATGAAAGGTACTTCAAGAGAGGCTTCTAATTTGGTAATGAAAGTTCAGACTGGGTCATGGTAACCCTAGCTAGCTTTGAAGTCAACAGCTTGGTTGGTGGTAACGAGATGTAGCTTTGCAGTGTAACTGGGAGTGATTGGGTCTGGTGGTGTTGTGTTCTCAGTATAAAGCCAAGCTCTGGTATGAGGACACATATGATACAGATCTGTAAAAGCATGAATGGCTTGGGGAGAGTGAAGTAGGGAACAGTTATGCACTGTGTCTTATAGTGTCAGAACTAGGGAGCAGCAGATAAAACCTGGAAAATGCGTTTTTATAAGGTGTTGCAAATGCTAAACATTTATATGGGTTCAGAAAGTAACTGGCCAAATTCACAGAAGATAGCTATTAAATACAAAGATACTAATCTGCTCAGGATTCCTTGTGCCATGAAGTGCTGGAGGATGGGAGAGCACACTGGGGAGGTATCACGGTATGCTTGTCCTGGTTTATACCCATTCTAGGTGTCTGCTTCTGGTTATTGTTGAAAACAGGATACTGATATATGAGGACATTTGATGAGACCTGCGCTCTTGTGCCTGTTGAAAGTGCACTCAGTTTTTGGATTGCAATGTAGATTTACTATTGGAAGCATATTTTGATGCGCACTGTCACTTAGGACTGCTTTTTGTGTAGTATGCATTTGATAACACTTCTAGTTTGATGCTATGTATGTGATCTCAATGCAACTTTCATGAAATACTGAAAAAATGGATGATCAAGTTGTACAGTACCAGGACTGTACTCATATGTTGTGTTTATCATTGTATTTTCTTATTTCATTGTAAATGTTAGGATTCCTTTGCTTTCCTTTTTGTGATAAACATATTAGATTGGAGGATAGTAAGTTTTTAAGTAAATGTTGAGCCACATATAAACTGCCTAGTCTGTGTATTGAGAGAAAAAAACAAAAGAGCAGAAGCATTTAATCTCTTTGCAGTCTTTCTGAAAGCAAAATGCAAAAGTAAAATTTAATGTCTAATGGTAGATTGGTAAAAAAGATTATTGCTTGGAGGGAGTAAATCCTCAAGTGGTCCACCCATTTTATATTGCTGTGTAATGATTCTGAAGGCAACTCTCAGAAGGACCAACACATGCAGCATTTTCTAGTACTGCTTAGAATGCAAATGTATATTTGTTGTTATTTACCTCATCCCACTTTTGTTTATTCCTATTTTAGCTTTTTAATTTGCATTTCAACTTCTTCAGCTTTGAAAGCTATTGAATATTTCACTATGCCTTAAATGATTCTGTATTTTTAGACAAAATGGAAGCAGTGGGCTATAGGTGCAGCCTATATAATATTGTCTTTTTTCCAAGTTAGTCTCATGACATGGTTAAGACTCGGCACTGCATTTACAGTCAGTGTTCTCATTTAGCCTTCCTAGCCTGTGATTAAATGGGAGTTACTGCTTGTTGTACTGTGAGTTGGCTGACAAAAGCTAAATCTGTCACAGGTGCTACAATTTGTGTATCAGAAAATTTGCTTTCCAAATACTAATTATTCCCAAAGTATCTTACTTCACATAAAGCACAAATAACAGAGTCAGCAGATTTGTCCCAGTTTTATCATTGTGCTGTAAATTAGGGCTTGTCTCCTACCATTGTGTAAGAGATGTGAAGATGGTAGAAATTCAAATGCAGGAGAACCCATTGATTTACAACCTCTGATGTGTTTTTTCATTTAATTCTTCTAATCAAATTGCTGGAAATGTATGTTATTCAAATAATTGTTGCTGAATTTCACTTCTGTAATTGAATAAGCTGTTGTCTAGGGACATAGGATTCTGGGAAACTGACAGTGTCGTCTCTCCAGATGTCATTAAAAACCAGAAGTGTTTTGTGCCTGAAAGGCCCGGATCTAACCTTGTCTTATGCTTAAATTATTAATTTGGGAAGTTAATTTGCTATGATAGTAGCTTATCAGGCATTACTTTTCTGTTTGCTATAGAAGAATGGACCATCAGTCATTGAAACTGGCTGAATAAGTGAAAGCATTCAGTTTATAACCCCCTCAGACCTTGAGTCACATATGTTGTGAAAACACACGTGTGTATACCTGTGCACAAGCCCAGAGTTGGGTTCCTCTCACCCCTCTTCCACCACTCCCTGTTGCAGAGAGCCTTTGTGATAACTTGTTATAGCCCCAGTTGCCAGTGTGATGTATTTTGACAGTGAAGCGCCAGGATCTCCCTAGATAAGAATTTGTAGTTCAGGTAGGCTATTGCTCAGTTAAATCTTTTGTAACAAATCTAGCTATCATCCTAGTGAGCAAATGTTTGAATGACCTGCAAAAAATAGCAACTGGAACTGTGTTTCAACAGCTTCTCCATTCATTGCTGAGAATTACTGAGGAACACCTTCTGAGATTAGAGAAATATTTAAAATGTATTTTCAAAATATTTAGCTTATAGAGTGACTTACCCAGAAAAGGAAGAGCACTGAATGCTGTAAAGGAAATTTTTAGCAACAATGTTTGCATTATAAACTAGCTTAAGAAATTGTTTATTTACTCCCTTAGGATGAACATATTGTATATTTCTAGAATTCTGACAAATGCAAACATTAATGTGATTTAACTTATAATAGCAGTGATTCGCAGCTCTAGTTGTTTGGCTTGTGTATAGTAATACTGATTTGTATTTTTATTTTATTTCTGTAGGACTATTTAACCATTCACAAGTATGGCAATGCAGCCAGAAATGATCTCTGGAACACATTGTCAAAGGTAAAATGCTTTAATCTATTGCACTGAGGGAGAAGCAGGAATTTACTGTGGTGTTTTTCTTCGTGAGCTTAGGAGCGAATAGTGCATATTGTGATCTTCCGACCCCAGAGCAAATATAAAAATTGATGCAAAGAAATTCCATTTGAGTGAACCTAGTGACAATGTTAAAATATGTTGTTTGCAGCATTTCTGTTCTTTGTTGTGTTAGAATATATTTCCATACTTATGCTATGTCACTGGTTTGCACTAAAAGATACTTCATGGACTCTGCTATCATTGACTTTATTGGCAGCATGCTGAGGCCCGTAAGCTGGAAAGCACATGAAAGTGCTGAGCTTTGGCATTTACATCAGGTGTGTTTATGATTTTGTATGGAGTTATGATTTGTGTGAAAGACAAAACTATTAAAGCTTTAAAGTATGGTGTAAACAGATAAGTATTTACTGTAACATTTGACATTCTGTAGAGTCTTACAGTTGCTATATCCGTTCTCCTTTTGGTTGCTATGCCCAAGCTTGGCTTGAGTTTCTAAAGCCAGGTCCAGAGATCTATAAGGGCAGAGTTTAATTTTCATCACATGAGCCAAACATGCCTCAGTTTCTTGCCTACAGAGCTAGTCTGGGCACTCCAGAATAAAGACAGAGTGCAAGGCAATGTAGAGTACAGTCAGGGAGTTTGCACACTAGTACCCACTCAAGCCATGTGTAAACATGACAATCTAGTTGTAACTGTTGACACCAAAGCTGGGATTCAGCTGGAGGTCAAGACATCTGCATTTATCCAGACAAGAAGGTATATATGTATAAGCTAGGTGTCCAAGCTCCAGTTGTTGTCATTGAGACCTGGATTCAGTTGCCTATTCACAGACCTCTAACAATGCTTACCTTAATTTATCCTACCTGGCTTCCAGCTGCCACGTGAGATAAGTGTGCCTGCTGTAGATCAACCAGTTCAACAAGGATGTGTTGAATATTTTAGGGCATCTCAATTGATGCTTGCTGAGTAGGAACAACTGGAGTCCCAGAAATCTACTTAATATAGTCAGCAGGGCATAGAGAGCAATTCAGTTGACTAGCCCCTACACAATTATTTTAAAACAAGCCTGAACCACTGACAGTTGGCTAGAGACTTGAGAAAGTTGATCAAGTATAGGCAGCTAGGGCCAGATTAGGTGCAGTAGGGTGTTCAAGGCATTCAAGTGGGTCTAATCAATTTGACGCAAGATCTGTGGAGAAATCTGTACCCTTCTGGAGAAGCAGGCTGAGGTTAAATGACGTTAGCCACCTATGTGTGGGCAACTGAACTGAGTCCTATGTCTGCACCAACTCTTAGTGAGAGTTGAGACATGTGACATACAGTCAGGCTCTTAAATCTATGTCTTACTCAGAAGCTGAATGCCACTGCACAAGTCTTTCTTGCTTCTCACCTGGTATCTTCCTCTGTTAAAGCCTTTGGGACAATTGTGGGCAATGGGAGGTCAGAGGGATGAACATAATCTTGAAAGAACAGCAGAACCCACAGTAGTAAAATAGAACAAAAATGAGGCTGTATTCTAGTCCATAACCGCTACGGCTATACTGTGTGCTGAAATCTATTGTTAAGGCTAGTAATTCTTTTTCCCTCACCTGTAAGCACGTTTGTTACCAGCTGTTTTGTTCTCAGTGCATTGCAATTGCAGCTTCAGTTCTGAAAACTTCTTGCTGGGTTCTGCTTGTATTCGTCAGAGGTTGCTCAGTCTTTGATCTAGGACTGTTCGGCAGCTAGGGACATTTCCTGTCATTCTCCTCATACCTAGTCTCATCTCCCATGATGCCATAGTATCTCTTTGTTTCAGATGAAAATCCCCATGTAAACTAGCATTTTTATTGACATACAGTATCAAACATGAACATGTTAATCCTCTGTGTGTTACGACAGGCACAGTTTATGAAGGAGCTTGGGATATCTTTGTATACATGGCCTCACTTTGGACCTGAGGGACAGTATTTTCAAATAATTAGTCATTTGATTTTCAGAACAGAGAAGCTCTGTACTTTTAGAAATCAAGCCCTTTGAATATGCCTTATTGAAGGTACCCTAGATCAATTAACACTCTGTCTTTTTTAACCTTAGCTGGTCAAGAATATTTTTTGGAAACAGCCATCCAGTATTTCTGTGGCTCTTGTTAAACCCCTGTAAATCAGGTTGTTTCTTTTGTAACAGCAAAAGTGCCTGAATGATGTGGGAAACATGAGTTTCTAACTGTCACTCTTCTCTCTGGGAAGATTGCTCAATGTTTATTTTTAAGATATACAGAGACCGTTGGTTAAATTGGGTAGTGTGTGTGTACTGGCTGTAAATGTGTGTGTGTGCATGTGGGATGGTTATTTAAACCTCTAAAACTAATAATGGTCTCTAAGACAAAAAAAAAAAAAGTTTTCTATGTTGGATGATGGTATTGCTTTCACATATTGAAACTTTTTTTTTTCTTGAAGGCTTTAAAAAGGGTTGGAAAATCTGTAAATATCCAGGAAGTAATGGATCAGTGGACACTACAGATGGGTTATCCTGTTATCACTATCTTGGGAAATGAGACTACGGACAATGTCATAGTGATCTCCCAAGAGCGTTTTGTTTATGATCGTGATGCTAAACCCAAGGATCCTGCCCTTGTAGACAACAGGTACTTATATTTCTCAATGAATATCTTTCAAGGCTGTAGTTGTTTAAGTAAGTGCTTCGTGTGTATTTTTATGAAGATGGCTTTTCAGAAATCTCTGAGCTTTGCTTGATATCAATAGCATGTGGCAGCACTTCCCTTTGAACTGTAGTAAAGATGAGGCTAGTTAAAACAATTGGAAAAAAACATGAGAATAGTAAAACAACAAGATAAAGCTTTTAGTGTGCCCAGCTGCATCCTGACAGCTCTCTCTGTGTCTCATCTTATGTCACACATTTGTTTCTTCTCCTTTTCTTTTGATTTTGTCACACTCCATGGAGTAATTTGGAATGCGATTGGAAGGTCTGATACTTCTTTTAAAGTAATTCTTTGGAGTGGACCTCTCCATGCTTACACATTGAGTAAGCAGATGTAACGATGTGTCAGATACATACCTCACTTGACTCGGGAAGCAGTCAAGAGCTGAACTAGACCTCTGTAGAAGGCAGTGGGTTTCAGCTGTTCCATTTTTGAGGTTAGCTGAACTGGTCCTATGGGGACTGTTACATTGACTGAAATCAGCAGGCACTTACGCATCTGTGCCCATCCTTTTTCCGCTTCTTAGATTGTTTCATTTTGTCTCCCAGCTGACTCCACACACTTCCTTCATCCCAGAGACAAGCTGGTATTCCTGGCAGATGCTGCGGATCCCTCATCTTATTGTTTAAAGCAGTTTTGGCGTCATATTTTAAAGCCAAGAATATAGAGCTGATGCTAGAGAATTACAAAATAACCTTAGAGGCTTCTGTGTTCACTTACTCATGCTCAGCGGGAAAGAGGGCACACTCAACCTTCAGTACTCTGTGTTTGTCCAGTAGATTTAAATCATTAAAAGGTAAAATTTAATACCAAATTTCGGTTGACAAATCTGGAGCTTATACAATATTCCTGTTGAGGAAGGCCTAAAAATATAGTTACGTTTATTGGGAAATATTTAGAAGTTTGTTATCCTTTTTTAGAATATGAATATTATGAAACTCAAACATGACACAGAGTAAACAGTTGTTTTTCTGGCTGTATTGGAACAACTTAGCAGGGTATTAAGCATCTGTTTAAGTTCTAGGCTGAAATGAGTTCCTTTGTGCAAAAGAGATAAAATACGTGAATGTGGACTGTTGGAAGTGTTCATGACTCATAGTTCAGCACAGCATGAGAGAGATTCTCCCTTATTGAGTTGAAATTTTCTTTTGTGGAAGTGTATATATGTGTAATGTAGTGTGAGAGGATTTTACTACTCAGAAAAACAGAGATTATTAGTTTTTTGATTGATTAAAACAGAGATGTTAAGCCTTTTAAGGCTTAGACTTTCGTAAATAGATTTGCTAGGTACTCAGTATTGATTGTAATAACTGCTGCTGTAATTCATGAGTAAAGACTACTGGGTGTGTAAATGTTTTGCAAGGTGGAATATCAGGGGTGATGTGGTAAGTTGACCCTGACTGAATGCCAAGTACCCACCAAAACTGCTCTATCACTCCCCCTCCTAAGCTGGACAGGGGAGAGAAAATATAACGAAAGGCTCATGGGTTGAGGTAAGGACAGGGAGATCACTCAGCACTTACCATCACGGGCAAAACACACTTGACTTTGGAAAATTAGTTAAATTTTATTACCAGACAAACTCAGAGTAGGATAATGAGAAATAAAAACTAAATCTTAAAAGACCTTCCCCTTACCCCTCTCTTCTTTCTGGCTCTACCTCCTCCTCCCAGCAGTGCAGGTGGATGGGGAATGGGAGTTGCAGGTCAGTTCATCACATGCTGTTTTAGCGGCTCCATTCTTCTCAGGGAGAGGACTCCTCACATTCTTCCCCTGCTCCAGTGTGGGGTCCCTTCCCATAGGAGACAGTTCTCCATGAACTTCTCCAATGTGAGTCCTTCCCATGGGTTCTTCATGAACTGCTCCAGTGTGGATCCTTTCCACAGGGTGCAGTCCCTCAGGAACAGACTGCTCCAGTGTGGATCCCCCATGGGGTCACATGTCCTGCCAGAAAACTGACTCCAGTGTGGGCTCCTCTCTCTCCACAGGTCCACAGGTCCTGCCAGGAGCCTTCTCCAGCATGGGCTTCCTACAGGGTCATGGCCTGCTTTGGGCATCCACCTGCTCTGGTGTGGAGTCCTCCATAAGCTGCAGGTGGATCTCTGATCCACTGTTAACCTCCCTGAGCTGCAGAAGGATAGCCTGCCTCACCATGGCCTTCACCACGGGCTGCAGAGGAATCTCTGCTTCGGCACCTGGAGCATCTCCTTCCTCTCCTTCTTCACTGACTTTGATGTCTGCAGAGTTGCTTCTCTCACATGTTCTCACTCCTCCCTCCCAGCTGCAGTTGCTGTTGCCCAGGTGATTTTCCCCCTTCTCAAATATTCTATCACAAAGGTGCTACCACCATTGCTGATGGGCTCAGGCTCAGCCAGCAGCGGGTCTCTCATGGAGCCAGCTGGCATTGGCTCCGTCAGACACAGGGGAAGCTTCTGGCAGCTTCTCACAGGAGTCACCCCTGTCGCCACTCTGCTATCAAAACCTTGCCACACAAACCAAATACAGATGAGAATTAGACTTAGTTTTATTTTCAGATGTGACGTTAATTCAGAATTCAAACTCTTGAGATATGTGGAAGGGTCGTATTCTACACCAGCAGGGCAAGTTATGCTGGGTTTCTTAGGAGATTTTGTTTATAGGTTTTATCACAATTACAATTTCTAAATATTGGAAGTAAGATTTATTGCTATAGGGACCACAGAGAAAGATATCAGCATGAGCCCTGCCAGGAATTTGCTGTCCTAACAGGCAGTACAGTGCATATTATGTGTATCTCCTTTGGCAAGTCTCTTTCCTATTCTCTTCTACCTTTGGATTTGTTTTTCTCTGTGCTTTCATGTCCTTTTAACCACAAATGGGAAGGAAGCCCCTTACCCAAGGAAGGCTTTGCGGATGAGATGCTTACTCCAGCCAGTTAGATGAGGGAGCTAATTCCCCACTTCCCAGTTGAAATTATTTGGAAGTCATGTTGCATAAATGTAAATACCAAAGACCAGGAACCATATACATTTAGCGAAAGGTGAAACCTATCTATGCCATTCATTTTTCGAAAGTCATCCAACAATTTATATTAAAGTCCTATGGCTTAGTTATAAATTAGTATCTAGAGTGTTATAACAATGACCATGCAATTTGGTGGTGCACTGCTCACAGGCATATGTGGCTTGGTATGCACGATTGCTCTGTGTCATTAAATGTCCTCTTGTACCATCAAATTAAGTAGAAAACCAAGATTGACATGCTGAAAATGAATTTAATCTTTCTGCCAGCAATGACCTAGATATTTTTCAGGGTTTTTTTGTGGGGTTTTTTTTTTCATTGCCAAAGTTACTATTGCTTCAATTATTGTGAAAGCAGTAGACAGGGAAAATCCCATTAATGGGATGTCATCTGATAATTCACAATACATTACTCTACCTTGATTTTTAACATTGCAAGAGCTGAAATTTGTATGCCGTTTTTCTGCAAGTACACAAAGTGAGTGATAACTGAAATGGAAACAGCACATTGATGGACGTTCAGCACTATTGCGAAATGCAGTATTCTGGCTGATTCTGCAAGTGGCTTTGATCAGGAAGTTGGCAAGGCTTTACTGATGTTCAGCGGGGCCTCGTAGCACAGGTAGATGTTGTGGGAGGCACAGAGGTATATATGTACACATATATAACGTCAGCCTGCAGGCTTTGGGGGTGTTACGTATCAGTGGCCTAATTCACAGTCCAATAAAGTCGGTGCTCATCTCCCCTGCGTGACCCATGAATTAGGTGTTGGACGCATGGCTCCCTGGGGAACCGTGATAGGCACTGTAAATAACGGAGAGCAAACGATATTTATGCCACATTTGAGGCCGTGCTGTTGCAGGGCAGGCAACATTGGCTTCCTTAGGGTAGTTTATCTATGGATTAATCGTGATGATCATTTTAAACACCGTAAAGAGCAAAGCTGCACAAAACACAGAAAAATGTACAGGTCCAGGCCTTTCCAGGAGTTTATCATCTAAACAGACAATATGATATGCACTGGAAGGCTCCGGGGAAGGCTCTTAAAGCATCCATCTGCCATATAGACTTTAGTTATCCAGAGGTGGAGCTGTAGTTCGGCATGGCACAGCAATAAACATCAGTTCTATTGTCTTCAAAGTGACGAGTAATTTAAACTTCTGGTTCAGACCCTCTCTAGGCCAATTTAACTTTGCCTTACTTTAGAAAGAGTCACTTCAGAGTAGGTCTTTCAGATGTATCCACTGCATAAGAAATGTAAATAAAGAGGCAAGTGAATATTTCAGAACCATTCTAGTTTTACAAAAAGTCTGTGCTTTTCTTTGTGCTATGTATTTATGCAGCAATTAACTGTTAAAAATGAAATGTGAAAAGCATATTTAATTTTTCTTGAAATCGCACAGAGGAATATAGAAGCACCAAGCAGATTTTTCTAAGTGATAAACGGTAAAAGTGAAAATTGTTGATATCTTTGGCAGTGGTTTACTCCTAGTTCTGCCTAGTCCATTACTATGAGCATTTTTAATTCTACTGCAGAAGGGAATGGTTACATATAGTTGATTTTCCCATCTCATGTACAGTTGGACTCCTTGACTCTATAACTGCAGAAAAATGTGTTTCAAGGGATATGTATATATAAACTGTGATTTATTTGTGTGCATAGAGTCGACTGTATGGCATGCTAAGCTCTAACATTTGGCCTGAAATTATAGAAGGTGTACAATTTCATTTCTTTGCAAACCGAACATAGCTTTTATTTGACACTTATGCCTTCACATGACCCATAGTTCTCATTTTATGAGAGAATAAAAACTAACGATGACAGACACTGTTCCTAGGAACACCATTCCTCAGAAGGGCCAAAATCATCAGCTTTGATTTAAATGCCAAAGCCTGTGTTTGGTACAATGTTTCAGTAGCAATTTC